GAAGCTAATCCAGGTGTAGTGGTTGTTCAAGCCCCTTCTAATCAAGTTGAACCTTCTGCTGCTGATGAAGCCACCTTGAACACTGGTCCAGAACCTGCTCCATAGTGAAAGTTTGATTGTGAAGTTAACTAGTTTTTTTTATTGTTTTGTTGGTGAAACACTTGGTGGTTTTACCCCTGGTCCCATTTAGGGATAATGTGTTTTTGGTAACATCATACCCCCAGTCCCTTTCGGGGGTTTCTATAATGACAATTAAGTTAGGACTAAGTTCATACTTAGTTTTAACTAAGTATTCTTTTTAGGGGGGTTTTTATTTTATTTTTTGCTCAACTTTTATGATGCCTTTGATTTGAGTTTCTGTTCTACTCTCTTAATGGTTTGCCCTTGCCTTTCCTTTATAAGTTTACGGCCTTGTTTTCCATTTCAATTTTAATATGTGGGTTTTTGTTTTACCCTTTTGCATTTAAAAATGCTTTGTTTATTTCATGGCTTTTTGAATCAAGCACGAATTATAAAGAGGGCCATTTTATATACGACGCTTAATGAAGAAGACGTCTCAACTTCATAATGGTGTAAACATACGAAAGAAGAAATAGGAACTCACATGTTTCTTGGAATAACTTTGAGAAAAGTTTTATTTCATTCGAACTTGTCGAATTAAATAATACTTTACATGTATTTAAGTATCATCTATAACTCTTCCGTAACTGTTTTCTTTACAACAGATTTGTACAAAAGAAAATCCAAGGGTTTCTTTATAACCCATAACTAAATACTGCCTTTAACCTAAACATCCGTAAGACTTCAAGATTTACGTCCACAAGTGTATCCTTCATAGGTTTTTGAATCAAGCTTGTGTTTTTGGCTCGTGACTTTGCTCTGAACTTGAGATTTCTTGAGTAGACTTTAGGCTTGACTTGAAATTTAATTGTTCTAGTCTTGTTTGCCTTCCCTATACACATATATTATATGTATATTATATAGTCCCCCCAAGTGTTTGAGCTTTGAAGTATGAAATCTCGTGCACTTGATTATAACTTCCATGCGGTCCTTTTCCTGAAAAGGAAAAACATACGGGACTCGGAGGTATAATTTAGATGAAGACTGCTTAACCCATCACATTTCTATTAGAATAGTTGTAATCCTAGACCGGGAATTATGTTTATTCCTCGTGTCTTTTAGGTCTAATTTCATCATTTGATGTGGGCTAGCTTTTTGCCCATCATCTAAAATTGTTAGTATAACTTTAACAGTTCAAAAATAAAAATCGTAAGTAAGGGTACCTGACGTTGGGTATTTCCTTCCCTTAGAAATAGTACTTCTTCAAATGAACAGCATTCCAACTCGAGGGTAGAATCTTGCGATGGATGGTTTCAAGTTCATATGCACCTTTTCCTGCGATACCACGATCTTGTAAGGTCCTTCCCAATTTGGACTCAACTTTCCTGCATTGGCTACTCTTGTGGATTGAAAAACTTTCTTGAGTATGTAGTCCCCAATCTTGAAGTATTTGAGACGAGCTTTCCGATTGTAATATCGCTCAATAACTTGTTTTTGCGCAGCCATCCTTATTAAGGCAGTTTCTCTCCTTTCTTCAAGAAAATCGAGATTTGCCCGCATCTCCTCTTCATTTGACTCTTCTGTAGCTTAAGTATATCTCGTACTTGGCTCCCCTATTTCAACTGGAATTAAGGCTTCAGCACCGTACACAAGTGAGGATGGTGTCTCTCATGTACTTATTTTTGCTGTTGTTCGGTAAGCCCACAAGACTCCAGGTAGCGCCTCTAGCCACTTGCCTTTTGATTCTTCTAGTCTTTTCTTCATGTTATTGATAATAACTTTATTTGTTTATTCAGCTTGTCCACTGGCCACTGGATGATAAGGTGTCGAGGTAATCCTTTTAATATGCCAACTTTAAAAGAATTCTGCGATTTGCGCACCTATGAACTGCGGGCCATTATCGCACACGATCTCTTTTGGAACCCCAAACCGGCATATGATATTTCGCCAGATGAAGTCTCTGACCCCTTTTTCTCGTACCTGTTTGAAGGCACCTGCTTCTACCCACTTAGTAAAATAGTCAGTGAGTACTAATAGAAATTGTACCTTGCCTTTGGCTTGTGGTAGTGGACCTACGATATCAATCCCCCACTTTATAAAAGGCCATGGTGCAATAACTGGGTGTAACAATTCTGCTGGTCGATGCATATTGTTTCCATACCTTTGACACTTGTCAAATTTAGCCACAAAATTTTCCGCCTCTTCTTCCATTTTTGGCCAGTAATAGCCTGCTCTAATTATAGTTTTTACCAAAGATCTTCCTCCGGCGTGATTTCCACAATGTCTCTCGTGTATTTCCTTAATCGCGTATTCCATTTGAGAAGGTCCGAGACATCTTGCTAGAGGGCCACCGAACATTTTTCGATATAAATTGCCCCAATCTAAACAATAACGAGCAGCCTTTCGACGAAGTGCCTGAGCCTTTTTCTTATCTTCAGGTAGTATTCCGTACTGCAAAAAATTGACAATCTCGTTTCTCCAATCCCAAGTTAGATTATTGAAATTTATCTTGTTTTTATCTTGATCAAGTACTGAATGAAACAAATGTATTACAGAAGCGTTTTCTTCATCGGTTACTTCTGTAGAGGATGCAAGATTAGCCAAAGCATCTGCCTTGGCATTCTCTTCTCTTGGTATCTGCGTAATTTTCCAAGTTTAGAATTGTCTAACTAAGTCCCGTGCATTTTCCAGGTATTGTTTCATCCTCGCCTCTCTAGCTATATAAGTCCCCTGCATTTGGTTAGCTACGAGTTGCGAATCGCTTTTGATTATGACCTGCTCTATCCGAGCTCTCGCGCCAATTCTAGACCTGCAATCACAGCTTCACATTCTGCTTCATTATTAGTAATGAGATGGCATTTTATGGCTTGTCGTATAATCTCACCCGTAGGTGGGACTAGGACAATGCCCAAACCTGCTCCTTTTACATTTGAAGAGCCATCGGTAAACAAGGTCCAAGTACCTGGACTGACCCATTAAATACTTGTAGTTCTTTTTCTGCCTCTGCTACCATCCCTGGGCTAAAATCGGCCACAAAATCTGCTAAAACCTATGACTTTATTGCTGTTCTAGGTTGATATGTGATGTCATATTCACTTAGCTCTATAGCCCATTTGGCTAGCCTACCTGATAACTCTTGTTTATGCAATATATTACGTAAGGGGTAGGCAGTTACTACAGAGATAGGATGACATTGAAATAAGGCCTTAATTTTCTAGATGCCATAATTAATGCTAGTGCAAGTTTTTCTAAATGAGGATATCGAGTTTCAGCATCCAATAAAGACTTGCTAACATAATAAATTGGAGATTGTTTACCTTGGTCCTCTCGAACTAATACAGCACTTACCGCTACTTCTGAAACAACAAGGCAGATGAGTAGTTTTTCCCCGTCCTTTGGTTTGGCTAGCAATGGTGGATTTGACAAGTATGCTTTTAAATTTTTGAGCGCTTGTTGACATTCTTCAGACCATTCAAAAATATTTTGCCTTTTTAAGGCTGAAAAGAACTTAAAGCATTTTTCCGATGACTTGGAAATAAATCTCCCCAACGCTGCTATTCTTCCTGTCAACCTCTGTACTTCTTTTTTGCTTGTAAGTATATCCGGTATTTCTTCAATAGCCTTAATCTGTGCGAGAATTACGTCAATGCCACGGTTAGAAACAAGGAATCCCAAGAACTTACCTAACGACACGCCAAATGCACATTTCTCAGGATTTAACTTCATGTTAAATTTGCGAAGAATCTGAAACGTATCTGACAGGTGTTGAATATGATCCCCTGCTTGTTGTGATTTGACTAGCATATCATCTATATAAACCTCCATGGTTTTTCCTAGATGTTCTTGAAACATCTTGGTCACTAGCCTTTGGTACGTGGCCCCAACATTCTTTAGGCCGAATGGCATAATTTTATAGCAGTAAGTCCCCCTATCTGTAATAAAGGAAGTTTTTTCCTCATCTAGAGGATCCATTTTGAACTGATTATATCCTGAATAGGCATCTAATAAAACTTAATAACTCATGTCCCGTAGTAGCATCAATTAGTTGATCTATGTGAGGTAATGGAAAAGAATCTTTAGGGCAAGCTTTATTTAGACCAGTATAGTCTACACAAACTCGCCACTTACCATTCTTTTTGGGAACTACTACAGTATTAGCTAACCAATCTGGATACTTTACCTCGCGGATAGACCCGATTTTTAAAAGCTTTTGTACCTCAGCCTGAATCACCTGATTCTTGAAGGAACCTTGCTTCCTTTTCTTTTGTTTGATAGGTGGGTATGTTGGATCTTCGTTCAGCTTATGGGTCATTACCTCCAATAATATACCTGACATATCTGAATGTGACCAAGCAAAACAATCTGCGTTAGCTTTTAAAAATTCAGTTAACTTACTTTTTATCTCCGTGTTGAGGTTGGTTCCAATGTAGACTTTTCTGTCCGGCCAATGTACAAATAATACCACAGCTTCTAGTTCCTCGATTGTTGTTTTGATGTTTTCATTTTCTTCTAGTTCTTGAATAGTATCAGGCCTCGAGTCTACATCTGTTTGCCCGTCTACAGTTGAGGCTTGTGTTGCTGCTCCTCAACTGAATTCTGTAATTGCTATTTTTCGTGGCTTTTTGCGCTTGAGTCTGCCACTGAGTTAATTCTTCGAGAAGCCTGTTGGTCACCATGGATTTTCCGCATTCCCCATTGTGAAGGAAACTTAATAACTTGATGTAGGGTAGACGGAACAACATCCATTTCGTGAATCCATGGTCTGCCAAGAATCATATTGTAAGCCATATCCATTTCTATCACTTGAAATTTGGTGTCTTTGACTACTCCTTCTGCAAATGTGGTGAGTATTATGTCCCATTTTGGTACGATGCTCGAGTTGTCAAAACCAGACAAGGTTCGTGCCTTGGGTATCAACTTATCATTGGCTTGCATCTTGTTTAACACTGTCAACAGAATGATATTCACAAAAATATTTGGATCAATCAAAACTCGTTTCACATTAGTGTCATGTACAAGTAAAGATATTACCAGCGCATCATTGTGTGGGGTCAGCACGCCATCTGCATCTGGATCATCAAATGTTATACTGTCTTCTTCCAAAACTTGACGAACTCGCTTCCCGTGGGTGACTGTGATTTTTGACACCTTCTTTGCTGCCGTGTATGTTACGCCATTGATCTCCTCCCCTCCACTTATGACGTTAGCCGTTCTTTTTGGTGATGGAGGTTTCGGCGGTTCTTGCCTATTCTTCATATATGCCTGCTTTCCCTTTTCAATAAACAATTCTGTTAAGTGCCCTTGCTTTAATAGATGTTTAACTTCACCTTGTAGTAATCTGCAATCCGCCGTTTTGTGACCATGATCATTGTGAAACTCGCACCGAAATTCGGGATTGCTCCTGTTTGGGTTCGATCTCATTTCTTTTGGCCACCGTACCTTATCTCCTATGCTTCTTAGAACAGCCACCAACTCGGATGTTCTTACATTAAAACTGTAGCCACCAATTTTTGCTTTTGAACCTCTGTCGTCGTCTCGCGCATCTCTCATGTTTCGCTCCTTTCTGAACCTTGACGACGAACCTGATTCTCTATCCCTTGATCTAGGATCATTCCTTGGGTTTTCCTATTTTGAACGCGAGTCCCTTCCTGCTTGTCCCATATAAGGTTCGTATCTGTTTTTAACGTACCTATTTTCAGTTTTTGTCTGCCTTGAACTTACTCTTTCATCTTTCCGAGACTGAGTGATAGTATCTTCTTCTATCCGCAGCTTTGTGCTGTATCTATTGTAAACATCATTCCAAGTTGTTGCAGGAAATTCTCATAAGCTTTCTTTGAGTCTCCTCGTGGCTTCCGAGCTTTTTTCATTCAGATTACTAGCAAAGGCCATAGCCGCCCAGTTATCAGGTACACGTGGCAACATCATCCTTTCACGCTGGAGTCTGTCTACGAATTCCCTGAGCAGCTCCGTATCTCCTTGTTTTATTTTGAAAATGTTCTCCATTCGTTTTTTAACTTTTTAAGCTCCCGAGTGTGCTTTGATAAATGAATGTGCAAGCTCAGCAAAAGAATCAATGGAATTTTTAGGTAAAAGAGAATACCATGTTAGCGCTCCCTTCGTGAGTGTTTCTCCAAATTTTTTGACCAACACTGATTCAATTTCTTGCTTGATCAAATTGTTGCCCTTTACACCAGTTGTAAATGCAGTTACGTGATCCTGTGGATCAGTTGTTCCATCGTACTTCAGGATATCGGGCATCTTGAATTTCTTTGGAATTGGTAAAGGAGCGGCACTTGGCTTCCAAGGTTATTGAGAGTATTTTTCCATATCTATCCCCTTGATTACGGGCGGTACTCCAGGTATCTGCTCTATGCGATCGCTTTGCTCCTTGAGCTATTTCTGCAAAGTTAGTACTAAACTTTGTAAATCAGTGGGTTACGTGACCCTCCATCACGGATTCGCTGGGAGTTCCTCTGCTGCCTGAGTTAACGAGTCCCGAGCGAGGATTTTCTACGGTTACGTTGTTGTTTGCAGGTGGTGTTGGTGGTATATTCGGCAACCTGCTAACAAAAGCCTGAAGAGTATTGCTGACTTGTTGAGCGATTAATTATTTCAATGCTTCATCAATAGCCTGATCTTTCTCATGCTGCTCATTTATATTTGATTCAGATCCGTCAGGAGTTCCCTCTCGAGATTGTCGAGGTGAGTTTTGTTGTGAGGGGGCTGGAGTTCCATCACCTTGTTGATTCAACTGATATTGCTGATTTTCTTGGTGCTGCAAAATTTTGTTGGTTGTTGTCGTTGACGTTTGACATGATTGTTTTGATAGAAGAATTGACTTAGGAAGTAAAAGATTATCAGTTTTCCGGTAACAGAACCAATTCGTTTAACCAGAAAATAGGAATTTCGGTCAAAGCTTATTTTTAGAAGAACTCGGGTTACTGATAATCAAATAAAGAAATAATTGTGTAACGAGAAAGGAAAATTAGAATGAGAAGTAGCCGAGTAAGCAATATAAAGCAATGTAAATAGGTATATTCCAATAATAATCAGTGTGTCCATACAAATGTTATTTCTCTCCCTTTTATAGATATTTCTTAGTACAACGTTTCTTCCCTCTCATAATAGAGTCATTATGAGCATTTAATGACATTAATAAAACGTTATAATTGGCAATCGTAACTGTTCCGTGAAGATTCCATAACGTTTTCTATCATTTATGCTCATTAATTGAAGATTTAACGAATCTGTACTTTTTGCTGTCTTGGTTCATTCCATCAGTGTCTCTTCAAATTATCAAGAGACCCGACTGACCGTTCCTTCTTGTCCTCTAGACATTTCGCTCGTACCTATTAAGACTCACGTATCTTTAAGTACTCTTTGCCAGCAGTCACAATTCTAATAATCCACGTGTCTTGACATGTCAGCCACACAATTAATTTCAAGTGTAATATTGATTTTTCCCAATAAAAAGAGAAGTCTATATGTTACGTAAAAATTTTACGTACATCCAAGATACGATAACCTAATAAAGAGAAAATGCAAAAAGCTTTTTCTAAGAAATTCAACTTTCTAAGGCCTTTTTCCTACATTCAAGAAAGCTAATATTCTGAAGAAGAAAAATCATAAAATTATTTGTAGAACATTGCCCTGAATCATATATATGTAAATTAGAAGATGTTAATATAATAACCGGACTAAGAAAGATAAGCCTCAAACTTGCCGTAAAATCCCAAAAATGCCTTATTAGCCTGCAATAACACCAAACTATATTAATTATGGATCAAAAATTTCAAAAGTAATACGCTTTTTAGTTCTTGACAGACCATAAGGTTATCAACTTTAAATTCAACAAATTCAGTCACAAGTGCTACAATTGGCTCAACCCCTGATGAATTATAAAGCAAATAAAGGAAAGGGTTAGTTTGACTGATGAGATCAATAATTGATTTGGCGTCATATGTGGCTGCTATTAGGGTTGTAGCCTCTGTTATTCGGCAAGTGAGACGGGAGAAGAAGAGATTTTCTTTTATCTGAAATTTTCAAATTGATCTTTGATTTTTGGATGTTTCTTAGAACAGGGATATAAGTATACAAACAATATGAAAAAAAGATCAGAAACTTCCACTATATCAGATTAGGAATAGAGAAGAAGGTAATTTTGAACCAATGGATCGGAGAGAACTCCTCCCGAGAGGTGCCATATCAGCATTAGTTGGCCCTCTTTCATAGATATATATAGATTACCATATTAAAAAAGAAAAGAAATCTAACTCATATTTTCAGTTAAAATTAAACTATCCTCTTTTCTTTCCCAAGTCTTTTCGGCTTCTAAGCTAAGGAAACGTTTTCATCTAAAATTAGGATTAATTATTATGTTTATAAAAAGAGTTCCAAGACCACTTACTCAAATAATTATACTTAAAAATTTGTTATTTGATCAAGAGAGAAGTTCTAATACTCTGCTTAGTTATTCATGATGAAGTGTCAAAAACGTCATGGGAAACCTCGTAAGGGACTGGAAAATAAAGATGGAACTATTACTGGACATCTAGGGTTTTCTCCTAAAGAAATTCCTAGGAAATCTAGGACAAAAACAACCGTAAAAAGTATTGTGGAGAAGGATAAAAAGTTTAATCCATCAACTACTCGAATTTGCTACAAGACGGATACTACTACAAAGAGAAAAGAGAAATCGAATGGTGCGCAAAAGCCATACAGTTACTACAGTAAACCAATTTCAGAATACGTGATTCCAGGACATATTCCTGATCTTGATGCATTGATGTGGGATGAAGATATGTTTATCAACTTTTGGGATAACATCCCAGACTTGGATATATAGACAAAGGCGGATGTACCATATACATATTAGTTTGCATGTGCATACATTGTATAATTGGAGGCGGATTAATAACCATGTACACATAAATGTGGTGTTTAACCAAGTGATGAAAGCTGAAGATTAATATTCATATATTATGCTGATACTTTATACAGTCAATATGGGTGAAAACATTGTCACAAGTCTATTTGAGGGTATACGTTCTTTGCAGAAATATCTGTAATGCAGTATAGACTCTAGAGGGCAAGTGCAAGGAACAACAGGGAATTATAATGCGATAGGGGTTTGCAGGAGCTTAGAAGTGTCGCTCGAGTTAGGGAATTAAGCATCCGAGATAACCAACACCAATAAATACATAGGAACTGTAGTATGATCGTCACGCGGTGGCGTAGCCAGAAATTTCGCCAAGGGTGTTCAAACTTTAAATCCCTCAATAATTTTTTTTGTTGATGTATGGTGAACCAAAATATTTAAATTAAACTGCGCAACATTAGCTAAACAGTAAAAGATAAAAACCTTTAATAGATCTATAGTTTTATAAATCAAAATTAAAAGAACAAAAAGACAACATTAGAAATTTTACTGATAAAAGTAAGCATAAAACCAAAGAAAAGAGAGTCGAGGAAATTTGTAGTTTGTAGAGAGTTTTTGTTGAAGAAATTTTATTGAGCTTGACTTTTTAAATTATAATTATTAAGAAATAACTTTAGTTCAAAAGTTACTTTTAAATTAGTTGTTTATTTCTATATAAATTTTATGTTCTAAGAGTTATTTTATTGGGATTTTTAGATTGAAAAAGAATAGATAGACCACAGATGAGTCTCCATTTAGTTTTGACAAATAAAATGAGCAAAACTTTGAATCTGAGAACAACACGTCACTTTGAACACCTTGAACCGTTGGACGTCTCACTCAACTGTGTTAATGATATTCAAAATATAATATACACGATAAAATAGTATTTAACTTACATACACAATATAATTTTTCGGCGAAGGGCGTACGCTTGACCACCATTGACATAGGATGGCTGCGCCACTGTCGTCAAGATGAATTTACAGAACCAGTTATGTTTACATATTGTTATTCATAATTGGCTATTTTGTTGCACATGTGTTCTACTTTTTGTCATTTTTAACTGAATATCCATGACTATGAACTTTATATGTTGTTGAGTAAATTCCATTTGTCCTCCTTACCATTAATAAACAATACTCCCTTCAACTTTCACTTGAGACAAAAAACTTCCTTGATCTTAATTCAGACTCACAACGTGACCCCTCATCCCTGGTATTTTCAATTGCCCTTCCATTACTATAGATTATAACAAAAAATGTTTTAAAAAGGAGGAAAAAATATCAATAATATTGTGTTAAACTGAGTAAAAATTCCACCATAATCTTAGGAAGTAACGAAACAATACTCAGTTCATCCTTTCCATGAAACAGAAAAATCCCTTTGAGTTAACATTTTCTGTTGATTTTAAAATGTTTAGATTTATGTTCATAGCACTGATGAGCTATATTAACATTTGGTATTGTTAATTAGCGATCAGATATTTTTGAGTATCTAGACTAAGATTTACATAAGAATGACATGAATTATTTTCAAAACCTTTTACATTACATTGACAGTTAATTTTCTTCTTCTTTTATAGTAGTAACATTAATACAGGCAACCAAAATGGATCAAATTATATACAAAA